AGGGAGTTATTTCATCTGAAGCTAATTTAACCAACGGAAAAGTATTTTTGGCATCATCATCTTCTTATGTACCGAATTCATAAAGCAAGCAAGCAAGCAAAAAATATATAAATTGACTTTAAGAAAAGAAAAATAAAAAATAAAAATCAGCGAAATGGGCAAAAAGATTCGATACATAAGACCAAAATGTAGAGATTCATATGAATGTATGCGCATCATCGTGTTCTGAATATTGTGGTTAATATTCAATTCTATAAAGTTGAGTTTTTGGATGATACTTCTTGTATATATGATCACCATAAAAGGAGATAAATGTGCTCCTATACAACTTACTGTTGAACTAATTCAAAATTACAATTTTAGGACTATAGTGTTTTGAGTATTGACAACAAAATGATCATGAAAACAATTCTCAAATCTAGGTTTCAAATGAATTCAATATCTCCTTTCAATTATTGATTGCTTTAAAGTTATACTTTCGGGTTTCTTTAATCTTTATTCCACTTGAAAGATAGTCTTCGAAGCTAATTGCTAGCATTAAACTTGAATTTTTGAATCCTTTCCTTAACAAAATTCTTTAACTTAACTTGATCAAAATGATTAAGACGTCGAAGTATTGAACTTCTTATGAAAGCTTAAATTTTGAAATGACACAACTTTTAAACTGCTTTATTGATCTTTAAGTTTCTGAGATATCCTTCATGTTGTTTACTGTAAAAACAAGCAGATTTGGTAAGATAATTGATGAAAACTATAAAACCAACCAAATTTAAGTCAAGATCCTTGCACATTACTCTACAGACTCAACCAAATTCTTTACATCTCATAAATCATGAATTTCTGAACATTTTTCCAAACTTCAAGACTATCAAGCCCATCAAGAGAACCAGAATTTTCTTCTTAAGGTTACATCGTTCACAAAAACTAAAGAATTGAAAATAACGAGATAAACTACAAGAAAATACATTCAGATTCAGATGATTGCTGAATACATTCATATATATAAGAACAGGGCTTTATTTAACAAGAGCGTTTGTTTCTTGTCCATGCAAGGAATACAGCGATTGATTTTTGCAACAAAAAAAAAAATAATGTATATATACTGTATTCCATTCCACCATTTAGCCATGAACTTCCAAGCCGAAGAGAGGAAAAAAAAATAAAATTCATGAATATCTTTCGCTTCTCCTCATCCGTGTGTTGAACTCAAAATTTAATGCCATTTGTCGCGTTCTTAAAATCCCCTTAAAAATCGAGTTTTGAATTTTAAAATAAGAGCTGAGAGGGAATAAATAGATAGAACGTAGGTGGAACGATTTTTGCATACATTTTTTTCTTTTCATTCCTTGATTCTAGATTATCGCCGTGATTTTAATTTCTTTTAGTCACATTAAAAAATCGGCATAATAATTCTTGGATCTTTTCACAATTCTACATTGTTCATTGAATTTTTTATTATTATTTAATGTGCATAATCATTGTGCCTTATTTAAAATACTTTTAATGTACACGTTTTCGCGATTACATGGAACTTTCAAGCCTATTTTCATCGGAATAACTTGAAGCTTGAGAATTTGTGAATTTCTATGACAAACATATTCAATATTCATAGCTGCCAGTGTCAATAATAGCCAATAATGACTATAAATGGAGTTACAATAAAATTGACCATCATCAGCTGTCTTAAGTTACTAGAATCATAATATTAGTGAATTTATGTTACATTAGTGACTCACTCTATAAAAGCCGGTCGATATTTTACAACTTAGTAGCAATTTCCATGCTGAAACTAATCATTGATATTCAATCTATCAATTACTCAGTTGGATAAGATTTTAGACTTAGCAGTATTATAAAGATTATGAAAAGATACCGGAACTTGTACGAATTCTTAGATGACTATAATATTTCATAAAACAGAACTAAGTCGGTTAAAAATTGCGTTGACATTTTCTTTAACACGGTTTTGGAAGTTTCTATTTTTATAAGAATCAAAATTAAATTTTTTATCTACGGAACACAATCTTTTAGAGGCAATGGAAACAAATTTATTCGAAATGGAATCTCTGATCATTGAAATTAATCATATTTTCTTAAATATAAAAACCTTCATTTTTCTTTCTTTCTTTCTTTCTTTCTGTCATTCCGCTCTAAGCCACGCCCACTTTTTTAATCGTTTGCTCTCAGCCACCCATTTTTTCCAAAATTTTTTGTTATTGAGAATTTCAAAACAGTTTATGTTCTTTTTCCTACCTGAGATTTTTTTTCTTCATTAACTGAGATTCTTATTTACTGTTTTGAGTTTGACTGTATTTTGGTACTGGATGCTCATTTTTCTACTGGATGTTACTGTATCTTAATATTTTGGAAAATCCATGAAAAAAATACTTAACATAATTGAATTTTGTCGCCATTTTGGAAAATCCATGAAAAAAATACTTAACATAATTGAATTTTGCCGCCATTTTGGAAAATCCATGAAAAAAATACTTAACATAATTGAATTTTGCCGCCATTTTGGAAAATCCATGAAAAAAATACTTAACATAATTGACACAGGATTTTCTGCAAAATTTTTTCACTTTTAGTTCTTTCACTCTTCGTCACTTGAGTTGACAAGACGATAATCCACGTAAGCAACTCCTTTTCTGTACTTAATTTTCCCGCCATTTTGGAAAATCCATGAAAAAAATACTTAACATAATTGAATTTTGCCGCCATTTTGGAAAATCCATGAAAAAAATACTTAACATAATTGAATTTTGCCGCCATTTTGGAAAATCCATGAAAAAAATACTTAACATAATTGACACAGGATTTTCTGCAAAATCTGTATCTTAATATTTTGGAAAATCCATGAAAAAAATACTTAACATAATTGAATTTTGTCGCCATTTTGGAAAATCCATGAAAAAAATACTTAACATAATTGAATTTTGCCGCCATTTTGGAAAATCCATGAAAAAAATACTTAACATAATTGAATTTTGCCGCCATTTTGGAAAATCCATGAAAAAAATACTTAACATAATTGACACAGGATTTTCTGCAAAATTTTTTCACTTTTAGTTCTTTCACTCTTCGTCACTTGAGTTGACAAGACGATAATCCACGTAAGCAACTCCTTTTCTGTACTTAATTTTCCCGCCATTTTGGAAAATCCATGAAAAAAATACTTAACATAATTGAATTTTCCCGCCATTTTGGAAAATCCTTGAAAAAATTACTAAACTTAATGCAATTTTGTATGTATTTTTGAATTTTTCACATTTAAACCCTTTAAGAAAGGGGTTTCTTTCTCCCTAATTTTTCAGTAAATAGTGTTTAACTCTTTTTTTTTGATTTCATGACGTTTTAGACAAACAATTAGACCATTGCTAATAGTGTACTAAATCAATAACCAATCTTTTGTTTCGGCATTATTTTTGCAGGTAAGATCATTTAATTCATTTTAATTTACATCAAAATATTAAATTTCAAAAATTTTAGACAAAAATTCTTTTTTAACGGATCAATTCAGTTCTTTGTTTCTTGAATTGCTTATAAAATTAACCATTTATGTAAGTTGCATTATTAAAAAAAATTAATATTATTTTAATCATAATATCTTTTTAAATTAGAATGGGAAACAAGAGAAGTTTTAATGAAGAGGAACTAAATAGGAAAATAAAATTGAAATTAATCGTTTATGTAATATAAATTTCGTAATATAAATTTTACTGTTTCAAAAGAAGAAAAAATGCCCGTCATGCTTGACGGGGTACTACACTAGTTTTCTTATATTCTATGCTAGTCATGTATGAAAAATTGCTTCTTCATGTGTATTTTATCGATATTTAAAATCAATTGAGTTATGTGGTGTCATAATACATGTTTAAATGACGTAAGCTTCAGAAATTGATCATTTAATTAAGGGGCCGTTCACTTATTACGTTCTCATTTTAGGGGGGGGTTTAAAAAATTGTAACAAAATGTAACATAGGGGGGGGGGGTGTCAAGAAGTATGTAACGTTCTAACTGTCGTCTGTCTTTTAAATAAAATCTTTCAAAATAATATAAATTATGAATGTTCAGGGGGGGGGGGGGGGGGGTTGAGTTGTAACCTATTGTAATAAGGAGGGGGGGTTGAGTGAAAAAAGTCGTTTTTTGCGTAACGTAAAAAGTGAATGGCCCCTAAAGTAATGCATTTTTCTTGTTGTTTGATTCTGGTAATCAATTTTCAACTGGATTTAATGATAAATTTGACAATATATCATGAACATGCTTTAGGCTTTGTATTGTTGCTTGAGTGGATGCTGATTAAACCACATGATCAGTAATGCACATGCAATTTAATTAAATTTTTATTTTAACCGTTAAAATTAAATTTAAATAAAATTAAGGGTGTGAAACTACGAAAAATTCAATTCCAAAAAGTACGTTAAATTTATAAAAAAATCCGTTCCAAAAAACATAGCGTGACTGTTCTGTAATTAACTCTGAAATGAAAGCAAGTGTAGCTGTGGTGTCAGTAATTGAGCTGTATGCAATCAACTTATTATTAATCATTGATTCCTTTTTTGAATACTCCATACTCATTCGAGTAAATTATTCTCAGTGTATTCAAAAATGGGTATCGTGATTAATGCTGATTGTTATACATAGCCATTTATGTGAAATGTTAAAAAAATTATCACCATTAGACGTGTACGAAGTTTTTATGTCAATTATGAAATTTCCATAAATTAGCCTTTATTCCAAAAACGAAAAAAGTTGTGTATTTTTTTTGGTAATTTTACAAATGATTCTTGGACATAATGTTTTAGGCATTTTATCTATATTTTTTGAGTAGGTAAAATACGTTTAGATATAAGAATGAAAAGTATAAGTTCAATCTAAAATGTTTGACGAAAGTAAATCCTGTAAATTTCTAAGAAATTCTTTAATTAATGTATTTTTTTATAGTAAAAAATTTTCTAGCGACTGACTTGATGATGAATAAAGTTTGATTGTGGATTAATTTAATTATTCGAAGATGGTCCCGGTCGTGGAGAGTCATCAAGTTTCCTACGTTTCTTAGTCTTGTGTGCTGTCAAGCTTTCTTGTCCACTGTCACTTTCCGAACTTGAATCGGAATCTTGGTCTGAACTAGAGCTGCTACTTGATGACGACGAGTTACTTGAGCTATCTGAAGCCATACCTGAACTTTCATTGACATTTATCTTTTCAGCCATTTTTGCTACATCAGGTTCGACTTCTTTCAAGATTTTCAGCCATTTCTTACTTAACTTTGGTCGTCCACGAACTGTCTTATGCCACACAGCCGGGAAATTAGTTCGACTGCAAAAGTTTTGGGTTACAGCAATTGTATCGTCTAAATTCAACACAACATGCCACCAACCACCAGGCACAAAAACAGTCTCGCCAGGTTTCTGAAGGATCTCAATCGGTGCATATTCCTTTGGCCAATCCATTTGCTTACAGCGTGGATAAATCTTATTAAACCATGTGATTGCCTCATCGCGTTGCTTACCACCGACCGATGATGTTACTTTTAAAAGCTCTTTGGGTGTGTTTGTTGGAAATAAGCACCAACGTTTATGGCCTCGTATCAAAGCATTCCAAGCGCTTGTACCGAGTGGATCGATATGGATTCCTGTGCCTGCAAATGTCAATTATACTTATATTAATATATTTTTTGTCTTGATCATCCTCGAGTTTAGCCTACCTGAACGAGCTGGTCCCATAACAAACCAGCGATAAGGTGGTCTACGGCTCTCGCCTGCATATTTGAAGAGATCATCGCGGAAATATTTAGGAATAATATAGTCATCGAGTAGCTTTTTGCGTCTATGATGCTCGCCGTAAGACGAATCAAATATATAAAGTGGCGAGTCGTCATTGGACTTCTGCATGTACTCAACATAATATTTCATCTTCATCTTGACTGAATATCCTTCGTTATCCTCGCCGCACTTGAACTTTTGATTTCGATACTTTTTAGCCAATCTTTCCATTGACTGCAAATATTTGAGCATATAGAAGTGAAATACAGTGACTGTATCATGCTTACCCATTTTGATTGCGCTTTCCATCCTTCCTGTATGTTAGTGATTACACAAGGGATATAAGGTGCTTCAAATTGTTCAATAAATTCATCACAATTGACATCCGGTGCATGAATGCGAGGGCAATTGTCTTCAAATTGAAGGTATGGTTCAAAGTTTTTAGCATATTCTAATTCAGTCCACATATAAGTCGAGGCAAGTTCTAGAAACAAGAAGAAAACAAATTTTCAAATGACATTGATTGAACTACTGCATTTACATCCACATACCTGGTCGAGCCTTCTTCTTTACTTCCTTTATACGCTTTTTAGCGCGATGAGAGATTTTAACTTCGTCTTCCTTAGACATTTTTCTAAATTATTCAATTATTTACTTTTCGGCACTGTCCTAATTTACTTCGTATCACGGTTGCTGGTCCAAAAATCTCTTAATACCTTATGTATAGTCGTAGCTGAGTTAATTAACAATTGGTCTAAACGATTAAATGGAATTAAAGTTGATGAATTAAGCTAGAAAATGAAAAAAATTATTTATCACGTAGACTTTGTATAAATAGGGGGAAAATTGCTTATGGCAGTAATGAAGCTCACTGGATGTAATGATGTTGAAGCGCACTATACCTTATTAAACTAATATTTCTAATCTGGATGTTATGCTGATCTGGAAGTTTCAAACGTTTATAAAATTACAAAATCAAGCTTAATTCAGGATATTAAAGATCAACTAATGCCTAGATCTCCAATAAAACTGCAAGACAAGGCACCAAACTGTCAATTAGCAGCTCTATTTCCAAAAAACAAAAAACCTCACAAATGTTTTCACAAAACCTTACAAATTAAAAAACGACGGTTATTTTTTGAAAACAGTAAACAAAAAAAATTGAGCGGTTGAAAGAATTAAAATCATTAAATTTAAAGCTATTTCTAAGCTAATAAGCCTTAATTATAATCTATAATAACATATAAGTCAAAATAATGTATATCAAATCGATAGTCATTGATGGATTCAAGTCTTATGGACGAAGAACAGAAGTTAATGGATTCGGTAAGTTTTGTTTGACTGATTTTGTTAAATATTTCTTTAATTAAGCTTAGCTAATAGCTCCTAAAGTTACACATTCACTGAATATGCAGAATAGAATCATTTGAGCAAAATAGAATCAATGTTTTATGTCTTAATTTCAATATTTTTATACAGATAAAGAATTCAATGCCATTACTGGATTAAACGGAACTGGCAAGTCGAATATCCTCGACAGTATATGCTTTGTTCTTGGAATATCCAATCTATCTCATGTAAGTTTATCAAATCTTCAATTTCATAGCAATTTATTAATTAAATTAACTTTTTAAGGTTCGCGCTAATTCCCTTCAAGATCTCGTCTACAAAAGTGGTCAGGCTGGAGTGACAAAAGCAACGGTTACAATAAATTTTGATAACAGCAACAAGAATCAGTGTCCAATTGGATATGAAAATTGTAAGGAAATTGCAGTTTCACGTCAAATTGTCGTTGGTGGAAAGGGAAAGTACATGATTAACGGGAAGAATGCACAATACAAGCAAATTCAGGATCTATTTTGTTCCGTACAATTGAATGTCAATAATCCAAACTTCCTCATCATGCAAGGACGAATTACGAAAGTTTTAAACATGAAACCACCAGAAATTCTATCAATGATTGAAGAAGCTGCAGGCACAAGCATGTACGAGTCAAAGAGAGAAAAATCTATGGCTTTAATCCAAAAGAAGGATGCAAAACTCGATGAACTTAATTCATTGATTAAAGACGACATCCAACCTAAATTGGATAAGCTACGTAAAGATCAGCAGCAATATATTGAGTATCAGAAAGTTTGTCGGGATGTTGAGTATCTTACAAGAATCCACATATCCTACAAATATCTCCAGTGCCGTAAAAATATCGAGAATTGTGAATCGAACATCCAAAAACTTACTGATGGCATTGAAAACAACAAGATGACAATTGAGAAGGATAACGAAGAGATTAAAGAGATTGAAATTAAAGTTCAAGAGATCCAGGAAGCACTTGAAAATGTAAGCAACTTAATTATTCTGTTAGACAGTCCAAAAACATTAATTTCTTAATTTACAGCAATCTGGAAGCGATTTAAAAGAACTCGAAAAGGAATTAGAAGGTCTAAATCATCAAGATGCCAAACTTAAAGCCACAATCAGTGCAACTCAAGAGGAAATGAAAAGCGAAGAACGCAAACTTAAAACTCTTGAAAAAAACATCAAAATTGACGAAACTGCTCTCGAAAAGAAAGAAAATGAGATGGGACAGGTAAAATTTTGGATAGCTTGTTATGGAACATTCTAACGATAATTCATGTTTTAGATGTGCGGCACATTTGAGGAACTAAAACAAGGTGAAGCTAATGACTTGAAAGCATTCCAAGATGCACAAAAACGTCTCGAAGCTGTAAACATGGGTTTGGCTATTAATGACGATGGAGAAGCTACATCTCTACAGGATCAGTTGACTAGTGAGTTTGATTATAATCTAATTTTTGTGTTCGACCGTTTTTTTGACATTTTCAAAAATTTGAAAAGTTTTGAAGATTTTTACTCAAAGTTTTTGTCACAGTTATATTTCAAATAATTTTCAACCGTTATTTTTCAAATATTTTTTGATCTTAACTTAATTAATTTCTTTCCTTCAACTAGATGCCAATTCGAAAATCGCCGATGCCAAAAGTACAATAAAGAAGAGTGAAATGGAATTGAAATATTCCAAACAAACATTGCAAAAGAAGGAAAAGGAAGTAAAGACAAGTGACACATCGTACATTAAGGATCAGGAAGTTATCAACAATACAGATAAAGAAATCAAGAATCTAGAAAATCAAATGAAGAAAATAACATATCAAGATGGTGAAATTGAGGCACTAATGGAAAAGAAGGACGAATTAACTCGAGAATGCAGAGCAATTCGCCAAAATATTGATCGTCAAAATGGAACTAAATTTGAGTTCCAATACAATGATCCAATTCCAAATTGGGATAAAAATCGTGTCAAAGGACTTGTAGCTAATTGCATTCGTGTTAAAGACCAAAAATACTCACGTGCATTGTCAAGCATGATTGGAGGAAGTTGGAGAAATGTTATAACTGATAACGATGAAACTGGCAAGTTGTTGCTGGAACGAGGAAATTTAGTCAATCGTGTCACAATCATTCCATTAAATAAGATTACAGCACGTACAATTGACAATCATACAGTTAATTTAGCACAAAAGTTGGTCGGCAAAGAAAATGCAATTCCAGCAATTGACTTGATTGAGTATGACAAGGAAGTTGAGCCTGCAATGAGATATCTTTTTGGAAGTGCCTTCATCTGTAAAGACATGGAATCAGCTAAGAAAGTCACATATCATCGAGATATATCCAGACAATGCTATACACTCGATGGTGATGAAATGTCACCAAGTGGAGCATTATCAGGAGGTGCTGTAGCTGTTGGTCCACCAATCTTAGAGGAAGTAACTCGAATCAATCAGTTTAAGAATGAGCTTAACATAAAATTGAGAGAAATTAATGAAATTTCGAGAAAAATTGAAAGTATCCAAAATGTAGCAATGCAGTACAGAAATACTAAAGAGAAACTTGAAACTCTTCAAATTCAAATGAGAACAGTCCAAGAGAGAATCCAATCCACAGCATTCCAACAAGATAAAAACGAAATTGATGATTTAAAGATAAAAATTGAGACATTAACAAAAACAATCGAAGAATGTCAAACTACACTCGTCACTAATCAAAATAAAGTCAAGGATTTGACCGAAAAACTAGCAGATTCTAAAGGACATCGTGAACGGGAATTAAAAAGTGCCGAAACTGAACTAAAAAGAGCAAAATTAAAGCATGAACAGTCACAGAAAAATTGGAAGAAACGTGAGCAACAATATGAGACAATGAAGCTTGAAATTGAGGAATTAAAGAAGACAATTGCTGAAGGTAAAGAACAAGTCATTCAAATGGAGAAAAATATCGAAGAATTCCAGAAGAAAATCAATGAAAATAGCAACAATGATGGTGATTTAAAGGCACGAACAGAAGAATTAAAAGCACAGATTAAAGCACATAAGGACAGCATAACAGCACAAAACAAAGAGGTTCGCACCAAGACCCATAGAAAAGAAAAATTACTAAAACAAATCCAAGAACTGGAACTGGACATAAAAAAGAAGGAAAATGAAATTGTTAAAGTAAGAGCTGATAATACTGATGGATATAACAAGATTGCAGCATTAGAAGAGAAATATACATGGATACCAGAAGATAAAGATCATTTTGGAGCTAGAAACACGAGATATGATTACAGTAAGGAAGATCCACAACAAGCTGGACAGAAACTTCAAAAACTTCAAGAAAATAAAGAAAAATTGAGCAGAAATATCAATCAGGAAGCTATGATGCTGTTAGAGAAAGAAGAAGAGCACTATAAAAAGATTATGGACCGTCGATCGAAAGTTGAGGATGACAAGAAGAAAATTTTGGACAGCATCAAAAATATGGACACAAAGAAAGTCGAGAATCTCAAAAAAGCATGGGAAGTTGTTAATCAAAATTTCGGTTCCATATTCACGACTTTACTGCCTGGCGCACAAGCGAAATTAGATCCACCAGAAGGACACAACTTCCTTAAGGGCTTAGAAGTTAAAGTTGGATTTAATGGCATTTGGAAAGAATCATTGACAGAACTAAGTGGTGGTCAAAGATCTCTCGTTGCCTTATCTTTAATTTTAGCTATGCTTAAGTACAAACCTGCACCACTTTACATCCTCGATGAAGTCGATGCAGCCTTAGACTTGTCACATACTCAAAATATTGGTGGAATGTTGAAGGCTCATTTTAAGAATTCTCAATTCGTAATTGTGTCACTTAAGGATGGAATGTTTAACAATGCTAATGTCTTGTTCCGAACGAAGTTTGTCGATGGCGTTTCTGGAGTTATGAGAACGGTTAATAAGAGTTAAAATTTAAGATTTTTTAATTGCTTTTACTTTTTTTTTATCGATTAAGACTATGAAAGCTTCCGAAAAGAGGATTATGGAACGGAAATTTCCGAACTTTAGTTCCACTGAGATTAATTTCATTGTCTTGAATAAAGTTTGTGTTATTATTAAACTCTATTTTTGCTTTATAGTCATCTATTTCGTCATTTTTAGCCTCAATCGTTCGCTGAAATGAGAAACAAATGAAAAAGAGATTTTTAAAGGACATCCAAAATTAATAAACTTAAATTTATTTAAGGATTAAATATTAAGAACCACGAAAGAAATCAACATAAACTAATAGAGCCGTGGAAAGGATGCAAGATGCAAGTAAAAAGTAAAATTTTCTTCTCACATTGAGTGCTTTCATGATCTCTGACTGCTCATTGACTATCCTTTCGTAATCTCGACATTTTTGATCTAATTTTGAGTATTTTTGGGATAATTCGTCGATTTTTGTTTCCAGGACTTTATTCAGTTGCAGAAGATCTGACATGTCACATTCGCTTGGACTTTGAGATAGTTCCTTTTTGAGGGAGCTTATGAGTCGCTGTGGGATTGAAAAGATCCATTGAAATTTCTATTTAACGCTTAACGGCTTTTTGAAATTTGAATTCTTTGACTTAATTTTTTTAAATTTTTGAAAACACTTAAAGCTTTTCAAATTTTTGAAAAACGTTATAACTTTACGAATTTTTTGAATTTGGGAAACCCGTTTAAATTTATAAAAACCATTTCTAAATACTCACATAGTTCTCCTTAAATGTATTCTCCATCTCGTTACACTGTTTATGTAAATCCGACTTTTCTATTGATAGCTTTTCAATGATCAAATTTTTGCTAATATTTTCTTTTTTGACATCATTAATCTTATCCAATAATTTAGCATTTTGAGTCTTAAAGGCACTTAATTCTTCTTGTAGAAGCTTCAAGTTGTTTGGATTTTCAATGGATGACTTCTTAATTTTCTGCATTTTACGTTTGCACAGTTTTGAACGTATCTGAGTTTGTCATAAGGATATTAAATTAATTTATTACAAAAAATCAGAATCAATACCTTAAGTTCCTCAATTCTCTTTGTATAATCATCGATCAATTCTCCTGATTTTCTCCTCTCTTCATCTTTTTGCTTCTCAAGCATGTCAATTACATCCAATGCGTTTGACATAATGTCCTTCTTTTCATTCAATTCAGCCTTTAATGCCTCATTTTCAATGACCAAATCAAAGTACTCCTTCTCATCAAAACTTGTCATTTCTGGCATATTAGTGCTTCCGTCACGCTTATTTTCCATTAAATACAGTTTTAATTTTAAATTGAAATTTTCTTTTTGGAGATTTTTGATTTCTTCTTCAGATTGTCGAACATAATACACTGGACTTGGGGCTGTCGATGCTCGCATTTGAAACTTTCGGATTATAGCATCATCATCTGACATTTTAGTGTGAATGAAAATTGAAGAAAAATATAAAACTTATGATTTTAATGAAATGTCAAATATTGCTAAGCTTCAAATTCAACGAACTTTCAAAAATCAAAAATTTAACGGATTTTTAAGATTCCAAAAATAATTTCATAGTTGCGCATCATTCAAGATCCAGTGATTACAGCATAAAGTCATTTTAATTGATCTTAACCATTTTAAAGTCTATTATAAATAAGGTTTGTCGATGCACAAACTTGACAATAATCTTCAACTTGCATCATCGAAAGCGCCTCATTTTGAGCGGTTTTAAATTGTACAAAAATAAAAACATTAAAACAAACAGAACGGGGAGTTATTGATTCATCCGGTAAACGTTAATTAAATCATTACTCATTATTATGATTGTTCCGAAGAAGAAACCTGAAAAGTGAGCCAAAATTATGCAAATAAAATTCAAAACAAAATATTAACAATAAAAATTTCATTGTTTTAGAGATTTAGCGACAGTTCGGTGCCAAAAATGCTTGGATTATGGACATTACAGCTATGAGTGCAAGAACAAACGTAAAATAGTGATGAGAGATAGTCGAACAAAGATTCTCAAGAAGAATTTGGAGCAAAAAACTGAAGTTAAGGATACAGAGGATAATAAAGAGGAACCGCCGATAAAGAAAAACAAAAAAAGTTCTCCTGCGAATTCAAGGTAAGTTACTGTCTAATTGGATTGTGCAACTGGTGTTTTTAAATGAATTTTGAGATTCTCAGTTTTTGGCACTAAGTTGGGTCTAATGTTCCTAAAAACAATAATTTATTTACTTACAGTAGCTCTAGCGATTCAGATTCATCTTCTAGCAGCTCATCATCGAGCGGAAGTAGCGACAGTGAGAGTGACTCGTCAACCAGCAGCTCATCGAGCAGTACCTCTAGTTCCTCAGGATAATCATCTGATATCTGATCAATGTTTTTTTAAGGCTTTAAGTTTTAAGTATGTACAAAAAAAGGAATTTTAAAATTTTTAAACTTTTTATTTTGGATTGAAATACAATCGATATTTTAACGTGCAAATTGAATGATAATTAAAAAATCTTATTTCTTTCGTCGATTATTATCTACTGTTTGTGTTATTGGTGCTGGAAAGCCTTTCTTCTTTAAATCTTCAAAATAGTATAGAATCATGTCTGTTCGTTCACGCGGCATGTGTTCCAAGACCAAATAGCTGTAATTAAAGTTTAATTATTGTTGAGTCAATTATTGATTGCCTCCTGTCTACTCACCGTTTGTCATTCTTCAAGATATCTTCAATTTCCTTTAAATGATTATGATTTTCCTTGTATAAGTCAAAACTCTTGTGCGTAATCAATTTGCATTCCTGCAAAAGCTCTTTAAACTCGGATTTCGCATTTGCTGTTTTGTCTCTTATGTAATCTCTAAATTCTCGTTCGCACTGAAATTGGAATTTTTAATTATTAGTTGAGTGTTATTTATGGCTTGTAAATTGCTCTATATTCACTGCTGATGCATGCGAAATTGATTATATATTTAACGGTTATTTGTTTTTTGAATCGCAAGCAATTAATTCAAGTGTTTTGTATTTTCCCGAAAACACAATGATTCCACAATGATTCAGATTCGGAAAAAATGTTCAAAAATTCCTTGTGCACAATATTTTTCCAACACATTAGAAAATTGAAAGTTTTTGTTAATTTCTCTTGATTTGAATCTTTTAGCATCATCTACATAATGTTTTCGTTCATTGCTCAAAAAATTAGTCCCTAATATAAAGGATAAACATGATTTTTTACCAAAAGTTTGTAAAAGTTTATCAAAAAATATTGTGCATGATCAAATTTTGTATGAAAATTTATGTAAACTTTGATCGCAAATATCTCGAAAACGGCATCAAACGGCATGTCCTCAGTAATATGGGAGATAGATTTTAACTTAATTAATGGATTTATATAGGTTTCAGAGAGGTCTTTGGAAGACTTTTTAACTTATGAATAGTTTAAGTAGTGTAAAAATACTCAGATTTCAATTCCATTTTTAAGGCTTAATACGCAGATTTCTATTGAGTTGGTTGTTTTAGTATGTAAAGCTAAGCTTAAATTAGCTAGTAACTGCTTCCAAGACATCCAAATAACAACTTAAAGTAGAAAAAATCATATTTTTTTTTTCATACACAAATTGTAAACAAATTTTGGGTGAGATTAAATTAATGATTTCTGGAGTTAGACATCAAATTGGGACGAGATATTTTCATAGGATATGCCTCAAGTTAAGATCTTTAATCTGGCATTTAAAGGACATAGTTTAATTAACATGAAATTTTTGAATTTTTGAACATTTTTTTCGATTCTGAATCATTGTGCATTCGTAAAATTGAAAATTCTTAAAAATGATTTTTCGTTATTTTGCTTTTCGGGAAAATATAAAACACTCAATTAATTCAAATTGTTGAAGTCCGTTAAATTTTGAATTTTTGAATACCGTTTAACTTTCAAAACCAAAAATATGCAGCAACAAAAATAATGTCTCCTTACCCGATCAGAATTTCCGAATTTCGAGTATCGAGGATCGTCACGAATTTGACGTTTAACTTCTTTCCATGGACTAGTCAGTTCCAATGTTGTGATTTCTTCAAGCATTTCACGGAACTTGTCACGTTTCTTCTTAGCCAGCAAGTTAATATGGTCGTTAAATAATCTTTCACGTTCTTCACGGTCCAAATCTGAATCATATCGATGATCCTTTTTCAGTAATTTCTTGGCTTCTTTCCATGTCAAGTCTGGATTTCGCACCAAATCAGCTAAAAGAGCACCAAAATTTCTTATAGCTTCATCATGCTTGTGATGTTGTCGTTCCTTATCGCGATCTCTTAAATGTTCAGCAAGCTTTAATTGGACTTGTTTTTCACGTTCCTTTATGCTTGCTTCTGCACGTTGTTGACGTTCTTTATCTTTACGAACCTTTTCAGTTTCACTGTCTTCATCTGTGCCTGAATGTTCGCCATCTTCTTGATCTTTTTCACTTTCTGTACCTGACTTGTCGACGTCCATTCCATCAGACTTGATATCCTCGTCATCAATTTCCATGTCTGTTGGTTTAATTTCATCATCGTTTTTTTCTGGCGATTCTTTTTCAATTTTAACAGAATCGTCATTACTCTTATTTTCAGAATCATTAATGCTGTTGATTGACTCATTTCTGTGACGATCCTTGTCCTTTGATTTCTTTTTCTTTTCCTTCTTTTCAGACTTTTTAGCTTTCTTGGATTTTTCCTTCTTTCTTTCGTCTTTCAGCATCTTAACATATTCATAAAAATAATCCTCACGCTGTATTGAATCAGTGATGGCTTTATATCGTGGATCTTGGTCCAATTTCTTCTTTATATCCATCCAGTGTGAATGTCTGTCGATTTCTGAATGTGACTTTAACAAGTCAAAGAATTCCTTTCGAATCTAATCATTGATAAACGAGATTGGGAAGAAAGGTACATAAATAAAAATAATAATGACAGTGACATGCTTAATATCTACAAAATTCTTAAAAACTAATTTTAAATTTCGAAAATTTTCACTTAATTTTGTGTCATGGCATTAAATGAACATTTTCATTCCTGAAAGAAAACTGATTATTGCCTGAAAGAGAAGATCACATTAAGTTCTCGATAATGGTACACGTAAGTTGCATTGAAGATTTACACGGAACTAGTTCTGAAGCTCTCAATTTGTAGCGGTTTTTTGATTAGAATTTTGAATTATTTCGTTAAGTTTTTGAATTTTTGAGATTCGTTAAGTTTTTGAATTTTTGAAAGCCGTTATAATTTGAATTTTTGAGATTCGTTAAGTTTTTGAATTTTTGAAAGCCGTTAAATTTTGATTTCTAAAAAGCCATTTTTTATGGAAAGTTTATAAATTACAAAATTCAGCCAGAAAACCAAGTCAAACTTGATAGATGACAATGAGAGCAACTAGAACATAAAGATTTAACATCATTTCCCTTGTCAAACATCATAAGTTTTTCAGGAAATACTCTTTTCATTCCGTATAGTCACTTCGGATGCATAATATATTATAATTAAATATTTATAGTTCTGCAGAGCATGAGTTTTGTGATTTATACCATTAAAAATAGTATTTTAAATTCTTCGTCTATGAACCCTAGTCATCGTGATGTTCTGCGACAATTTTTTTGAGGACGACAGCATCTCTCTGATTTCTAACCGACCCTGGTTTTGTTGGATGCAGATTTTACAAATTACTGAATTTTCAAGGATAAGTGGTAGTATGTTGTAATTACAGTAATCTGTTAACCATCGACGTAGAATATATTTTTTAGAATAAATAACAACAATGAATAGTAAAATTAAAAAATCATTAAACTAAGGAAAACACAAAATGATGAACTTTGATAGAGATTTTAGATATTTTTTTTTTTTTTTTGGGGTCGCTTAAAAGCTTCATTATTTGTGACTTAAACACAACATAAAATTTCACACAAAAAAAAATCGTGTATGATGGATGAAATTGACAAGAAAAAAGGTTGAGTGTGTGAAATTCCATTCGTGCGACAAAATTAAATTATCATTTTCTCTTAAATTTGAAGTCATATAGCTCACCTGTTCCTTCTTAAGATGTTTTTCGTCCTTTTCGCGTCGCCTCAACTCGCTTAAGAAATCATTAAAAAGATGTTCACGCTCTCGCATTTTTTCAATACCTTTATAGCGCTCTTCGCGACTATATCGGGAGCAAAAGTCTGAAAAGTTTGATCTAAAATGAGAGAAAAAGATTCATTATTAACGGTTTTCAAAAATTCAAATATTTTAACAGTTTTCAAAAATTCGAATTTTTCAGGATTTTTGTTCAAAACTCAGAAATGAGTATTGTATTTTCCCGAAAAGCAAAATAACGAATAACTGTTATTACGAATTACAAATTTACATTTGTAGTACTGGGGGGTCCTCGATTTGAGTAGATTCGATTTGAACAGAAAAATTTTTACCCACCAAAATATTCAATTTGAGTAGATTTCTTGCTGTTTTCTTCGATTTGAATTGTTTACAAAACAAATATTTTTGATAAAAACATTTCAGAAAATATTTTTAAAACATAATAGAATTGATAGAAAAATCAATACTAAGGTTACAAAATTAAAGTAAAAATTTAAAAAATCGATATAAAATTAACGGGTTTAAAAAGTTCAAATTCAAAAACCTTACAAATTGTTCAGTGAAATAACATTTGCAAGGTTCTCATATTTTTGTTTTGTTTCAAAAACATATTTTTTGTGAATTTCTGTTTAAAAACAATATAAATATGCGTTGAAATAAATTAATTTATCTAAAACACATAGGAAAAGTTAAGCAACGAGGTAAAATGTGCAAAAAATTATCAAAATTTTCATTGTTTTCATACATTTTTTGGACTCTGGAACAAAACATGTAATTTTGTATGGGGGCCGTTCACTTATTACGTTCGCATTTTAGGGGGGAGGGGGGTTTGAAAAATTGTAACCAAATGTAACATAGGGGGGGGGGGGGGGGGGGGTGGTGTCAAGAAGTATGTAACGTTCTAACTGTCGTCTGTCTTTTAAAAAAAAAGTTCACGAAAAAAATTTGTTTACAAATTCACACCAAAAACACTTTTTAAAATTTTCCACCTTTTTAATGATTTACAAATGTCCAGATCTCTTTTGATAGCTAAGCAATACATAGTTTTTGTTATATAAATATTATATAGACTTTAAAATACAATCATAATTTGTGGAAATTTTCAAAATTAAATCAATCATAAGTTTAAAAGTAAATCTCTCTAAATCTGTCATTTATACGATGATTAATATAATCCCATCATTGTGATATTAACATTCGGGCATATTTTTGAATTTTCTTGAAAAACAAAAATTTTTTTGCTTTATATCTCAATCCAATAATTCATGAGAATACTACTAGTATCAATCAAAACATGACCTATTTAGCTGTACAGTATTTTGATGTTTCAGAAAAAAAATACAAAAGAAATTTAACCGTCTTTTTAGAATAAAAAATTATCAAAATAAAATAAATTATGAACGTTCAGGAGGGGGGGGTTTGTGAGTTGTAACATATTGTAACAAGGGGGGGGGGGTGGTTGAAAAAAGTCGTTTTCTTGCGTAACGTAATAAGTGAACGGCCCCATGGATTCTTTGCCTCGATTTGAATAGATTCGATTTGAGTAGAAATTTTTTGGAACAAAACAACTACTCAAAACGAGGACCCCCCAGTACATTTTTACGAAAACTTTTATAGTAAAAACTTATAGGATATAATTTGAATCTCAAATTAGTAAAACTCTACAAGTTTTTACTATAAAAGTTTTCGTAAAAATGTACATTCGTAAAATTGAAAATTCGTAAAACTGGTTTTTCGTTATTTTGCTTTTTGGGAAAATACAAAACACTCCTCAGAAATACGTTACAAAACCCACCTAGAGTGCAAATTTGCTTCCTCCATTAAGGTCTTAAAATCATCTCGTTTCTTTTGTGCCTTAAATCTCTTTTCACGTCTCTCATCTTCAGCACGGTCCTTGACATATTTCTCAAATACCTGTTTTCGTTCTTTGCTTGCAAGAAGTAAATAACGTTGATCAAATACAATTTTATGTAATTCCTTTTCCCATGTTGAAAATGCTGAAACTTCCTTTTCCTTTAGCATTTCCTTGAACTGCTTAACTCTTACTTCCAACGGAATTTGTGCTCTTTCCTTGGCAGCCTTCAATTCTGCTTCAACCGCTGGATCCTTAACTTCGACTTTCTTTTCGACAATTGGTGGTGCATTTTGAATTTTTACTGGCACTGCTATTTGTTCTATAAATTAATATTTTAACTTATTAAGTGAATTAAGTGATTTTGGACATGATTTGTCAAATAATACCTTCGACTTTAGACTTTTTGGTTGGAACTTCATCGTCTTCTTCTTCCTCTTCGCTGCTTTTCTCCGATTCCACTTTTGTACCTGGATTATTAGCTTTTTCACTAACCTGTACCTCTTCCTTTACATTACCATCCTTTTTCAGTTGATCAGGTATTGCTCCAACTGCTTTATCGACATCAGGACGTCCTGTAATGAGAGAATAATCAATATTGCGGACCTAAAGTTCATTTTAGGCTTGCTTACCGACAAGATCTTGTGGTCTTTCCCAGACACTTTGTCGTGACGATGGATTATAGAAGAAAACTCGACTGTCTCCAGTCCAGACAACACACCAAGGAGTACCTACATAGATTAATTGATCAAAAAACTGACTGAAAAGCAGTAATATGTAAAACTTACCTGCGATTGGAGTACTGGATATTGGTCGAGTTTTATCTTGCGGTTTTGGTGGCAATTTAGCCTTTTCCATTTCCTCCTTCCTTTTACGATCTTTCTCGGCTGGATCAACAACATCAATTGGAGGTTTTTGCATCAAAGCACCTGGCTTGACCATATTTCCTGCAGAATCAAACGTTATACTACCTTGACTCGATGTTATTGGCGGTTGTTGATGCATAAACGCTGCTCGGGCTTCATCAAGCTCTCTCAATGCTTGTGGACGTTCCCAAACACTTTCACCGCGTGCTGAACTAAAGTAATAAGGTCTACCGTCTGGTGCACGATGTTCAGTCCATTCTGCTGCTTTTGCGAGAATTTTTGGATCAATTCTATTGTCAAACATCTTTGCTGGATCATTTGGTGGCTGCCATTGTGGAAATGGAGCATTAAAATGAGGTGGAGCATGCATTCCAAAAGGTGAAACATTAGCATTAAAAGGTGGCATAAATGGAGGCATTTGCTGGGTTGGTGGAGGTAAATGTGTATTATGCTCCATTAAATTTGGTGGCATCATTCTGAAAAATCAATAAATGAATAGTAAACTAGTTTATTGCTGTAAAAACATTGTTATTACGTCATTTTGGGATCCTTAATTTGTTCAGGTCTTTGTTGCTCCATTGGTCTCATTTGTTGTCTTGTATATGCTTCAAACTCAGCCTGAGTCATGACTTTAATATTAGGACCATCTGGACGATTCCAAGTGGTTTCACGTGTCACAGCATGATAAAAATAGGACTTATTATCACCAGTTTTAGTCTCGACCCAAAGTTCTTGTTGCTATTGAATAAATAATCATGTTCAATGTATGTACATACATAATTAATAATAATTTTACCAATTGTTGAGGTTGTTGGGGTGGTGGACCACTTTGATGAGGATTCCAATTGTTTGGACCAGCTCCTCTTCCTCCTCGATTCATTTTCCCACCACGATTAGTGCCTCTGTTGCTGTTATTTGGAACAAATCGATTCTCATTCTGAACTGGAACTGGTTGTTGTTGGGATGTTGGTGCTTGTTGATTCATAGGTGGCTGATTATCGCTGTTCTCATTGTTCCAGCCACTGAAATATGTGACAAAAAGATAGTTTAATACAGTTAAAGCAAGTAAATTTAAATAATTATTGTTTTTTCAGTCAAAATATCGAAAGAACAACTCACTTTTCAAAATCGTCTGTAAAGTCATTAGAAAATACATTTTCCTCTTGTTCTCCATTATCTACAGCACTTGTGCCTTCGTCTGATTCCATTTTATCAACTAAGAGACGTTAAAAACTTGTACTTTTGGCTATTAATAAAAAATATCAAAAATTTTCACATTCGCCTTATTTTTAACTCTCAAAATTAATGATCGAAACTTGTATCTTAGTAAACATCGTAAACATTGAGTCAGTAAAAAAACTAGTTTACCTAAAGCGCATCTAGAGTGTAATTTGTGTTGAATTTTATGTTGTAAAGCTGTTTTGTATCCTGTAAAAATTCAACTGCTTTCAAAAATTCAAAAAGTATGAAATTCAGATATTCTGACAGATGTCAACAAAATAAAATATTTCAAAAATTCAGCTTATAAACATAATCGTAGTTGTTTATCCCGGTTTGTATCGATTTTAATTTAAAAATTGTGAAAATCAGAGAAAATTGAAGAAATTTTCTTTCTTGACGATATTTGTGTTTTTGGTTCCTTTAAATTATAATCTTTTGACGCCAGTGTTTAAAATAAAGTAAGTTTAATTGAAGAATAGTGAAGTTAACATAATTACGCATAAATTATACTTGAAAAATCAAGCAAATAAGATTGAACGAGAAAAATCTGTGAAAATTCCAGCAAAGTGATCCGAGACAATGGGAAAATATTATTTTATTGATCAAAATCTAGTTGAAGGACTTTTCTATTCAGTGTTAATTGTCTTTTCTATAAATAATTTCACTCAATATTGTTCCGGCGATTTGAATTTATATGGTAAAAATTGACTTATATTTCTATATCCATTAAGCTAGACTGCTGCATAAGTTTATTGAAATCGGATGGAAAAAAAAAGTTTTTCAACAATGTCTCGTTTATGTTTATTATATCAGATTATTGTTGTGGGGAATGCAAAATGAACTATTCAACATAATTTTTATTTATCAAACAAACGCAATCTTTAATATTATTAACTTTTTACTGTACCTTCATATTACAATTTTCAAGGGTGGGTTCCGAACTGACTGAAAATCGATAAAAGTGAAAAAGGAGAGAGGAAAATTTTCTTGTTGTTGCAACATTTAATTTGCGTTTTACACAAAAAAAAAACCAAATATCTTGTTGAATTGATCCTGAGCCAAAAAAATATAATATTATTAATATGAAGCCTTTTAGTTGTGTAGCTAATTAAGTCTTGAAAAAATTTCATTCATTCGGTATTTTAGCACTGAAGAGAAATGAATGTAAACGAGCAGCATGATATTGTGAAAAAATCCTTATCGCAATTCATCAAGAAAAATATCCCAGGTGCAAACTTGAAGGTCCTTGACGATGTCGTTTTAGAATACGTTATATCTATTCTTGAAGAGGCATCTCAAGATGAAAGCTTTGATGTCGAAGGTAAGTTTTTAAATTCATTGCCTGTCAAATAAGCCACAATTCTTTTTAATTTTCCTATTCAGCATTTCAAGAAATGATGTCGGCATATTTTGCTGATTTTGCCAAAATTGATCCGGCAGTCATTTGTTCATGGATCTTTGAGCTTGAGTCTCAATTGTCTAAATTAGACGAGCCAAAAGAAAATGGAAAGCCAATTCTCAGCTTTGAGTAAGAGATTGTCAATTTTAAAAATTAGATTCCAAAACTTATCTCATTTATTATTCAAATAACAGAACATTAAGATTGACAGACTTGATTCCGGAGGAGAAATTAATTGGTCGTCCATTAAACACGTCAAATACATCGAATGAATCTTTCGAAACAAACAGTCATGTCAAGAGAATCCAACATTTGTCCGAGACAAGTGATGGCAGTGGATCAACAGACAGCAATTGTGACTTGTTTTTGGAAGATTGTGAACGTTTACAGGAAATGTTTCCCGAAAGTACATCGATGGAAATCAAGTATTGCATGACAATTGCAAATGGTGAAACTGAACGAGCTCGTCAAATCATCTTGCATCGACAAGAATCTGGCCAAAGTTTTTACAATTCTGGGCGTACTAATATTAAGCATTCCAAGGTTGTCGATGAAAAGGAATTGAAGAATCGTATCATTGAAAGGTATGACTTTGTTTTAAATTAAAAATTGCAGTGGATTCTATTTGCTTTTGTCCATTAGCAATCAAACTTTATTGATTAATTTTATAATTATTAATTAGATACTCGTACGTCGACCAAAACGAAGCAAAGCAAGAACATCGCCCATTCATTCCGAAGGTAGAACCGAAAAAGATGATACGATATCGAGACAACAAGATTGTGTCATTAAAAGGTGAACGATATACGGAAAATGATGGTGAACTCCGTAAGCCAAAAAAGGTTCAACCGTAACAAAACGCTTTTGTTGTGCGGAAACATCAAACTTTGACATCCTTTATGTATACCATCCTAGTGTTTATGTGTGTCCCAATACTGATGATTCTTGATGTTTACCCATTTTCATTCTTAACTAAACGAATGATCTCAACTTATAATGACAACTATAATGACGATAATGATGATTATCATTACTCAAAAAAATATTTTCCAACAAAATTATCTCATTTCCTATTATACAGTGGTAGTTGTAGCTCAGCACTATATTTTATAAACTCAATCTTTTCGTCTGTGACACAATCATTCAAATTACGAATGATCTCTTCATTTAAATTTGTGATATTTTCGAATTTCATTAAAAGTTCATTTGATGCTAGTCATGATATTCATTTTAAGCACATTTAGTATTTTAAATCAGTTAATTTAAGTTATTATTATCATTATTATCAAAATGTATATGTTTTGTGTAGTACAAGTCTGTTTAATTTAGGATATTTGACATGTGAAAATTCTGAAAACATTTCAGTGTCAATTCTCTGACAATTATTCAACCTTTTTATTTTACAATTTTTTAAAAAGAAAACGAATAATTTATAACTCTTTTTAAAAAAGACTATTTTTGACAAGCCGTGAAGATTTTCGGAGATTGTTGATTGAATGAAAATTTGAGGTTTTAGAACTTAATATCGATTAAGATTAGATTTAAAATTACCTTTAGAGTATCTTTTTAAAACTCTAATACTGCCTATCAGTATGTAGCCAGAACTTAAATTTATCACTAGAGGTATCAAAAAATATAAGCACTGATAAATTGAATTAAGTCTGTAAACATAGCTAATCGTTTGGCTATTTAGCATTGACACTATCAGAAATCACCTTAAATTCAGTTGAAAAGTTGAGAACTTTATTTCAATAAACTTATTGACGGTGCTTACAAGTAAATCTTTATTGAGACGATTTCTACAAATTAGCTTTTATTATAGAGTTATTCGTCTTACTTTCGCTACAGACCTAGCTTGCCGTACTATAAAAAATTCCTATTAAACCTCTTTCCTTGAACTTGTATCGATCAATCTTCTCGAAAATTACTCACGTCTTGATATTTTTTATATGAATTGTTTAAAAAAAAGAATCAATGAAAATGTCACAAATTTAAGTGAATAGTGTATGTCAAAGACATAAAAATTTAATAATTATTATTGAATGTAGTTTCGTAGAGACTGTGTATGTTATTAACCATTATCTTGAATGGTTTTAGTATTTCCCCCCTTCATTAAGGATACAAAAAAAGAAAAAAAAACAAACAAATTAAGCTCAAATGCATTTTAAAGTTAATATCTCCCAAAAAAAAAAGTAATGAATTGTGTATAAAATTTAATTTTTAGACTTTATTTCTTGTGATTTGTCATAAATATATATATTTTGTTGTAATATATTTAAGTTACTTAAACGAACAAAGGACAGTGAATGAAAGACATAGTTTTAAATTATAATTTTACTTTTTTAATGTTTTTGCGAAAAGAATACATCTCAAGGGTTAAGATTAGGGATTCTTAGATTCTCTTAATGATTGAATGATATTACAAAATAAATAAATTAATTTAGTTTTATCTTAAGATACTTAATTGAAAGATTTTTGATCATTTATTGTTCTTTAGAATTCTCATACTTCTCAACATAAATAAGATTAACTCAATAAAAAAAAAATGGGCATATCCTTCTTTGTCAAAAATATCACTTTAACCTAATTATTACCAAACTTTACATTTATTCTTTCTATTCATCGCAGATGTTTCTGGGCATTTAAAGTCGTTCAAGAACTCGACAGTATTACTTACAACGCCATTGACTCGGAAAAGTGGAGGTGAGTGTGTATCAGTTGCGATTCTTAGTTTCATTGTCTCTGGTCTTGTTTTACTACACCAAGTCTGGGCTGCTGACATCCAGAACAGTTGCATTGGTGAGAGTTCCAAGTCAGGTAAAGCTAGTTCTTGTTTGTTCTCTTTTATCCAATTTTGGTATGCTTTGTATGACACAAGGAGGCCTCCGTTGTCCTGTTAATTGAATCAACATAATATATATATATAATTGAGTTCTTAGGATCTGCTTCCATTAATATTGTAAAGCTGTGTACTTACCGCAATATTCTCTCCCTGCGTGTGAACTCCATTCAATTTCAAATTAGTTGTTGGTTCTGTGTAATTTCCATATTGATAAACAATACATTGTGCCTTTTCAAGATAGGCATTTTTTGTGTCTTTGGCCCACCAATCAACTAAGTTGCCATTTCCATCGAATCTACTACCTTGATCGTCAAATCCATGAGTCACCTAGATCAATAATCAAACAATATTAACAGCAATCTATTAATTGTTAAAACTTTTCTTCTTACCTCATGTCCGATGACAAAGCCAATTGATCCGTAATTCATGTACTTTGGTCGATCAGCTGAGAACATTTGACCTTGTAATATACCAGCTGGGAATTCTGGAAAATGATTTTAATTGAGCTTTATTGTAACTTTTTAGAAATGTTTATATTTACGGATGCTGTTCTCGATTGGACTGTAAAATGCATTAACAAGTGCAACCTCAGCATGGTCTTCCCAAGCTGTTTTATTAACTATTTCGCGGAACTTGACAAGATCCTTCTTTGAACTGAATCGATTTAATTTAAGGAAGGATTTAAAGAATTCTTTGTTGTTGATCTCAAGATCTTCATAGTATTCAATTAGTTTCTTGTCATCATTCAATTCATCAGGATATCCAATGAAATTTGTCATCTTTAAAGCCTTCTCAATAGCAGCAACTCTTGTTTTTTCATCCATCCACTCAATAGTTTTTAGTGTTGTTCTGAATTCTTCTTTGATTCTATCAACAAGTTCCAATGCATCATGCTTTGATTTTTCATTAAAATATTTTCGAACATAAAGAGCTGAAGATGCAATTGAGAGGTAGTTTGAGGTCCAACTGACGCATTCCTTCCATCTTGGTTTGTACTTTTCAACGCCAGTCAACTTTTTTGTGTATTGGAGTCGCCTCTCTCGAATATCGTCGGATAAAAGACTTGATGTTGATAGAGCAATTCTCCACATTACATAGTTTGCTATTGTTCTGAATAATTTAAGAAATTTTAGATTTAGGAACTCTTTGAAGATAGGATTCGTTCACAACTGACGATTTATCAAATCAAGTGTTTTTAAACTTGAACAAATTAAACAAAAATATTTTGATACCTTTGTGGTGTGCTAGTCAATAACTTATGAATATCAATGAAGACCTGCTTACTGGTAATCATAAGAACCTCGCTTTTATCAATTTGTTTATCTTTTGGAAGGAAAGCATTCATATAATTAAGCTAAAGAAATCAAAGAAGAAAACATACTTATTAAAAACTCATCTTGAATAATCAATTTAACCTCATTACCCAATGTAAGCACGGAGACATCATCTGCAATTCGCTAACTGTTATCAAGTTATACAGCTTTGTCACATCGCGTCGTTCTTCTTTTGATTGTGTGATCTGTGTAAACAGATGATTATTTTTGTTGTTATAAAAAATTAAAGTTATATGACATTCTTCCTTACTTTTGCAAAAGCAATTTCAAAATCGAGGACATCCTTCATATCTTTTTCGGAATCTTCTTTGTCTGCACCGTATAATACGGCTAGGTCAACTTGGAAAGAATGATAAGCTTGGACCAACGATTCATTGAGTCCTTTTATTAAAAATTCTCTGCTTAGTCCTAAACCTGGTTGATCGAGCTAAATTTAGGAGAAAAAGGAGTAAGAATTTATAAGAATAAAGTAACCTTGCTAAGCTCTTTTAAAAAAGTAAATTATTCTTGAAATTCTAACACAAAAAGACTAAGTTCTTTTAAGGACAATTCCTGATTGTTGAGATCTTATTAAACAATTTATGAACAGTGTGTGCCATTATTTAACTGATTTTCGATACATTAAGAAATCTTTAACGTTTGTGTAAATTATGTTACTCTTTTTACTTATTGAAGCAAAGACGTCTTCAAAAATCGTGACAAGAATTAGGATAACATTTTTCATCAATAGAATTTAATTTATTTATAATTTTACCACCAATATTCTCCTAGTATCATTTTTCAAATCTTGTATCAATCCAAATCCAAAGAGATAGTTCTGAGGAAAGCCTAAAAGCTCTGCAGTTTGAACAAACTTTTGATATCTCCATGAAGATTCATCCCAATTATGACTTTTGACTACCGGCCATCCTCCAAGATAAACCATTTTCTCCACAACGTGCTTTAGTCCAATTTTGTTGATGGTTTCTGTTTATAGATAAATGAATTCAGAATTTTTGTTGTTTTAAGAAAAGATTAGAATAATGTTTGCAGCTGTACAGCATTGATTCTACCTGAATCTAAGTACAATGAATATTTTGTTCTCATCGTTTGAGAATATTAGCATAAATCCAAAATGCACATCTACTTTTCATTTCAAATCATCATACAGCATTTAGCAGTACTTTAATTATGCATAAAATATCTACAAACCTTTATCCATACAAGCTTGATAGTAATTCTTCACAACTCTCAAAGGATTTATGTCTCGATCCGATGATTCTTCGCTCATACCTTCATTAAGTTGCTCGTCCAATAAATCTTGCAGAACATTAAATACATTTGCTTCTGATTTATCGTCAGGTATGTCTGGATTATAATTTCCACAAGCATATTGATAGAAATCGTCACACGGTGATACAGAATCATCTATTTTACTTTTCATATTCTCAGCTTCTAATTGACACACTTTTGACTTACACACTTTCTGTGATGTTGCAAATTTTGTACTAGTCACGAAAACTAAGAACACTAAAAATCTAGTGAAAAATTTAAAAATTAATTTACAATGTCACGAAAAACATTAGAATTTTGTTTACTCTTTCTTCCAAAACATGACTGCGTAATAAGACCTTCTTAGAAGAGCAACCGAACTGATTGAAATGTGCGAATATACTGAAGAAAGTCTTCTCATAAAACGCCTTTAATACGTAGAACGAAAACACCCACACATACGTATGCTATTAGAAGAAAGATCGTTCAACCTACTTAACATGCATTTAAATCTTTTGATTTCTTTTTACAATAATCAGCTGTAAGCTCTTGATAACTACAATTTTACGGTTTTGTCCAAATTAATTATTACTTTACATTCGATGATTCATTATTAATTTATTCTCTCATTTTTAATTATCACATATCTACTAAATGAATCGAGCGGTTTGTGTATGTTGCTTTTTGGAAAGTCATCTTATCAGGAAATAAAAACAAAATTTGACTTGTCAATAAATCATTAATAATGAAGTAACTTGTTCAGCATTAATGATTGAAAGGAGATTTGTCTTCATTGTAGTAGCTAATAATATTTACCGTAAAGTCAGACTTGTATGTTGGACTAATTAGATTTGGATTTTGTATATATCTTAAACCAGTTTAGACTAATTGAGAATACTGATGATTTGACTTTAGAATAGATTTATGATGAATTGTAACTTCTTTTAACTAAAATTGCTTAAAGCTTCAAAGACTTAGAGTTTGCTTATATTGATATTTAAAACTTAATCAATTTAAAAAAGGACTATTAATTGACACCACTCTGTTCTGAATTCCTTTGGTTATCACATTTACCTGCATCGTAACTGTAATTTTTAAGTTCTTAAGTAACAAACCAAGATTTTTAAAGTTTTAAAGTATATTTCTCAAATAAATTTAAGTTTTATTTTGCTTTTTTCATCCAAAAAAATTAAAACTAAACAAAAGTACAAAATTCGTGACTTCATAGAAGATTGAACTTTAAATTTTTGTATCAATAAGAAGATTCCAACAATGGAACCTTTCAAAAATCTATTAAAAACTCCAATAACATCATTTCGAAACTATCACAAACAACAATATTACTGTCACCAAACTAAACATTTATTCTCAGGATTCATTTTTGCTTCTGATGAACATTCGAAGTCTTCTGCGAATTCTGGCATGTTCATGATGACTCCATTTACTCTAAATTCTTCAGGTGCATGTGAATCTCCTGTTATCGTTAGCTTCGTTGATTCTATAGACATAAATTCATTTAAATATTGATCAAAGTTTATCTAAACAAAAGCCTGTTTATAGTCTATCTAAGCATGCATCTTACCAGGTCTCTCCACAGAACACCATGTTGACGCAAATGATATCCAAAAGAGCTGTTTTGTAGTATAATTCAATCCGGGGAGTGGAAGCTCATCTTTATTTTTCTCCATATATCGCATATAGGCTTTATAAGCTTGTTTCAGTCCACCTAGATTTAAAATTCTTTCAGTCAGATGTTTAACGGGAATTATTTAGTGCCTTACCATTATCGGCAATATTTTCCCCTTGTGTATTAATTCCATTAAGGTTCATTCCAGTCGATGATTCAGTAAAATTAGCATATTGATCAATGATGCATTGAGCTTTCTCGAGATAAGCTTGCTTTGTGTCTTCCTGCCACCAGTCTACTATGTTTCCATCGGCATCAAATTGACTACCTTCATCATCATAGCCATGTGAGATTTCATGACCAATTATAGATCCAATTGCTGCGTAGTTGAGGTATTTGGGACGATCTGCGGCAAAATAGACACCTTGAAGAATTCCAGCGGGAAATTCTGTGAAAATATAATTAGGCTTAGGATTTATAGAATTTTATTCTAGTATGTTGCGCAGCTACTTACGTATACTATTTTCTGATGGATGATAAAAGGCGTTAATGACAGCAACAATTGCGTGATCTTCCCAATTAGTTTTATTTACTGGTTTTCGTAAACTGTCTGTAGTTCTTTTGGCTTCAAATTTAGAAATATTAAGAACTGAGTCAAAGTAAAACTTCTCATTAATCATCAAATTTTTGTAATAATCTGTAATTTTGATATTGTCGGTCAGTTCATTTGGATAGCCGATGTGATGATCCATTCCTTTCATCTTTTTTAGAGCCTCTTTTCTTGTTTCTTCGTCCATCCAATCGATAGTTCTTAGTGTGTCTTCAAATTCTTCTTGAATTGCATTAACTAGTTCTAATGCTGTGTCTTTAGCGCTTTTTTGAAAGAAATGCTTGACATACAAAGCACTGGTTGCAACTGGAAGGTACAATAAAACAGCATCAACGCATTCCTCCCATCTATCTTCAAAACTCTTTTGTCCACTGATGTTTTGTTTAAATTCCATATATCGATCTCGCACCTTGTCATTCAATAATTCAGCTACTGTTGAAGTTGTGCGCCATAATAAGTAATTAACAATCACACTGCAATTCATTGTTTCTCAAAATAATAGTCTCAGTGAAATGTAATTTTAAAATGGTGACTTACCGATTTGGAGTGACTTTCAAAAAGTCATAAAGTTCATCAACTATTTCTGTAAAGTCCGTCAGTATAATGACTTCATTTTCAGTAATATTACTTTTTGTGAAGATTTTATTGAAGTACTTGTACCAATCATGAATGGAAAACATGTGTTGGAAATCTTTTATTGTTATTGGATTGTGTAAAAGTGACATGTTTCGGCGCTCTTCTTTAGGTTTTGAAATCTAAAATTATTTGAAAATTGAGAAGCACTTAATAGTTTTGGCGCATCCATAAAACATACTTTAGCAAGATGAATTTCAAACGTCAGAATATCCTTCATTTCAAGTTCTGCATTAAATCGATCTGCTCCATAAATAACTGCAGTATCAACTTGATAATTGTAATAAGCTTGTACATTCGGGTCATCAAAACCTTTAACAAGATATTCTCGATCCATTCCTAATGACATTTGATCAATCTAAAATATAATGTTAAACAGTCGTTCCTGACCTACATCAATGAGATAAAAATTACGTATATTTTTTTGTGTATTTACATAAATGACTTTGCTGCTCGAATTTTTCATATCCATCTCCACTGAGCAATCAAAAATATAATTATTGTCGAAACCTCGCGTTACCAATTCAAGTTGAATTCTCTGCCATGACCAAATATTTTCCTGCCATGTTTTTCCTTCGACCACAGGCCAACCTGTAGAATTTTATTGTTAAATGAAATTTTGGTGCGATTTAGACTGGTTTCGAGCAAAAAAACATTGATTCTTTAGGGTTTGTTTCATTTTAATGTCTATTAAAATTAAGGAAAAAAGGTCTCGAGTTTTTTGGATAGATTAGTAACTTCTGCCCAATAGTTGGGGCAAGGAATACTTATTATTTCGATAGACGTCATTTTTCAAAGATTCGTTTAAAATTTAAGCAATTTTTTGCGAGTTTGTTATTGGGCAAATGAAAAAACTTTATTTTGCATCAACGTGAAAAACCAGTAGTAAATGTCTGTCAATTAATGAGCTTCTGGTTTTTTGCATTCTGTTAAAATTATTCAACAAACCTCCAACAGCGTCAAGTTGCTTTTTCATCGGTTTCAGTTCCAATTCTTCTATCAAATCTACAATCGTGATTAATAGAATACATTTTAGTCATCTTCTGATAACAAACTTGAATGAAGTCACTTCACCTTTATTCATACATGCTCTGTAGAACTTTTTACTCAGCTTGTATGGCTCAATGTCATCATCACTGATAGAACAATTTAAAATTTCATTAATTTGCGCTTTGAGTTTGTCATCCAACTCAGTCGAGACATCAACAGATGTTTTATCATCTGGGATCTTTGTATTTTTAATAAATATGCCGCAAACATGCTTGTAAAAGTCGTCACACGCATCAACAGATGTGTCTAGTTTATCGAGAATATATTTAGATTCGCGCTCGCACGCTTGCGTAGAACAATATCCGACAGCATTATCATCATCGTTTTCGCTTTCACATTTTATCAAAATAAAATTATAAATAACAACGATGAAGATGATGATTCTAAAAACGCGTATTTTTCATTACGTCGATCGATAGACGGGAAGTGAAAATAAAGTTTAAAAAATAAATTTTCATTCAATTTTCTTCACGAATAATTAAATTTTTTTTGCATCTGTCACTTTACATACCTGTTCTTATTCATAACATATAATTTGACGGACTATGAATATCAACAAAACCTGCAATTAAATTTGTGACTCTGTAGAAATATGAAAATTTATAATATGAAGAATATAAAATGAAATCACAAAAGCGTGCTTATTTTGTGATGTTCCGAACGATACTGTGTAATCATTCGCTGAAAAAATATTCTTTTATAGAATTCATGTATCGAGAATATGTGGATATTTTATTTTGAAAGCCGTTATGAACATGAACGAGTTGTGGAGATTTTTGATTTATTTTGACTAAGCGCACATTCTTTTTTTTTTTTTTTTGCATTTTTGGAGGTATGAGCTAGCTTTACTGGTATAAATTTAAGGATATGAATTTGAATCATGTTTAGAAAGCTTAAATATTCATTTCAGTTCGCAATTCCTGATTAAGAAAATAATTGTTATTGAAATTAAGCTAATAGAGATTTGATCAGTGAAAGCTTAATTCCCGAGTTCTATTACATAAACAATGAACTACAAGATATTCCAAAACGAGTAAAAATTATTAATTTTACCAAATTATTGGTCAAAAAAAAGTCGCGAAAATCAATGTTTGATTAGTTTTTATTCAAAATTTAGACTCGAAAGTATGTCATTAGTAAAATAAGATAAGAAGACACTCATTAGAAGGTGTCAATAAACTAGTCATGAACTCAGAGAATTGTTGGAGTTTCTTCACTGTCTTAGAGTATCCAGCTTGGCATGAAAGTTTAGAAAATGTAATATAAATTTATAAAACCTCGTTTTGAGTTGAACAGTCAACTAGACTCCAATCTAGTCGAATTATATTACTATTATATGTTTTAAACTTACCTCCACGAATCACTTTATACGTTTGATACTTACAAACTAGTCCAAACCCTTATAATCCGCCTTTTTATTGTCACACCCGCAAAACAATTAAATTAATTCAGAACCAGCAAAAAAGTTTACATGAAAAGCGTGTGAAATTGCTGTAAAATCTGAAATAATCTATCTCAATCCGTCCACTCGCAGTGGAAAACAGACAATGTGTGGAAAATAACCTACGAAAATACAGTAAAAGTTGAGCGAGGAAAAATAACAATAAAAAACATCGAACGTGAATTTTAAATGAGTTTCATTCTATGAGAAACAGACTTTTGACGGCACTAATGACTCTCTCGAGAGTAATGTGTGCGTGCATTTAAATCTATTATAAAAATAGACATAAATATATCGACCAACTGAGAGAGACAAAATAAAAAAAATGCGACAATTTTTTTTGGTAAAACAAACAAAAAAAATTTCTTTATTTTTCTAAATCGTAAAAATTAGTCATTCATTAATTAACTTATCAATGAGAAGGAGATGACGAAACAGTCATGAATAATATTTTTATTATTATTTCAACACTTTTATAAAATGCAATCGTGGAAAAGCTTTAATGCTTTAAACATTTAAAAGCACATTTAACGTTCATAAATCTTCTAAAGCTATAAAATTTAGCAATAAATAAAGTTTTTTGTATTTTCTTTCATTTAATAATTAAAATGTAAGCGTGATTTATGTCATTGATCGGTTAGGTATGGAAGTACAAAACGTACAAATGTGATTTCAACAGACCTAACATTTGCTTCTAGATGTCTTCAAAAAGTTTGAAACGTTTTTAAATATAATTTTTTTTAAATCTTAATTCAACGTCTATAAAAGAATTTCTTAAGTGAGAACTTTAAATTTGAATGCATTCACAACAGGATGGGCTTCATTGAAGTCATGTTTACCAAACTTCGCATTTGTGGGCTGGATTCATCGGTGAACCTAATTAAGAATAATGAGTATTATTACAAAACAGTAATTATAGTCATTTGTTAGCTTGTCGCTGTTGCAACCAGACATGCTTTATATAAGTTGCGTTGTAACTCACCTTCGGGACAGTTAAAGTCTTTTGAAAATTCTTTCATGTTACTTAATGGACCAAGAACTCTGAATTGTCCGGGCGAATGTACACCCGTTGTGATTCTCATCTTCATTGCCTCTGTGGATATTAATCATGATCGTTAATTACAACATTAATGAAATTTTAATCTGGCATTTACCTGGTCTGTATACTGAGCACCACGTTTGTGCTGCTGAAATCCAGAATAATTGATTTGTTGTATAATTTAATCCAGGAAGTTTTTGTTCGTTCCCATTTTCTGCGATGTATCTTTGATATGCTAAGTACGCCTCTTTAATTCCACCTAAATAATTTATTTTTATAAATTAATCATGTCTTAATTATCAATAAGCATGCCCATACCGTTATCAGCAATATTCTCTCCTTGTGTATTAATTCCATTCAATTTAAGTTCAACATTTGGTTCTGTGAAGTTGCCATACTGCTCAATAATGCATCGTGCCTTCTCTAAATAGGCTTTTTTGGTCTCCTCTTCCCACCAGTCGACTAAATTGCCATCTAAATCGAATTGTCGCCCCTTTTGGACACAGAATTAATATGATTATCAGCAATAAAAAGTGCATGTCATACCTGATCATCAAAACCGTGTGTTATTTCATGGCCAATAACGAATCCAATAGCTCCGTAATTCAAGTATCTAGGTCGTTCAGCAGAGAAGAATTGACCTTGCAAAATACCAGCTGGAAATTCTGAAATAAGCCAATAAAAATTATTAAAAATTCTAGACTGTCATCACTTTTGAATAATTTATTCAGTACTTACGGATGCTATTTTCGATGGATGAATAAAAAGCATTAACGACAGCGGGTCTAGAGTGTGTAATCCAATCGGTCTTGTTGACTGGTTCGCGAAGCTTTTTGAAAGCACGATCAGTTCCGAAAATATTGATGCTTAATACTGATTCGAGATATTTGTTCTCATCGACTTTGACTGGTTTGTAGAATTCAATAAGCTTATTATCATCCATCAATTCATCTGGATATCCAATGTGTGTTGTCATGCTCTTAACTTTTGACAATGCTGCAACACGAGTTGTACTGTCCATCCATGGAACTGTCTTTAAGATTCTCTCAAATTCTTCTTTAATTGACATAACCATTTTCAAGGCTGCAGCTTTTGAGTCTTGTTTGAAATATTTTCGGACATACAATGCACCAGATCCAGTTGATAAACTTCCAGATGCTAAATCAATGCATTCCTTCCAACGTGGTTCTTGTTCTTGCTTTCCACTGATTGCTGTGCTGTATTGTAATTGACGTTTTCTAAGTTGTTCTGTGAGGAAGTAAGAAGAAAATCCGGTGATTCTCCACATGACGTAATTTGCAAGAGTTCTGAAATTATCAAGTGGGTTTTTGATTTTGTCTGAAGTATTTCACATGCTTGAATGTCATACCTTTTTGGTGTTTTCGCTAAGAGAGGTCCTAATTCATCAAAGAAGCTGATTACACTAATAATAATGACCTCATCTTCAGTTACTTGACTGACTGGTGGTAAAATGGCATTGAAATAATCGAGCTAGAATGAAATGGATTATTGGATTAGTTCATCAGAAACTCTTTAAAATCTGTCGAAAAATTCAAACAATTAATGCTACCTACCCAATCATTGTATGGATATTTGATTTGTAAATCTCTGATTGTAATTGGATTATAGAGAGCTGTTGCATTTCTTCGTTTCTCATTCGGAAGTGAAATCTATTAAAAATCCAAAATTTCTAATTAATCAATTTAACATGCTAAAATGAAGATCTTACATTAGCCAAAGCGAATTCTAAATCAAGAACATCTCTCATTTCCTTTTCTGCTCGTGATTTGTCAGCTCCATATAATACTGCCATGTCAACTTGATATGCATGATAAGCTTGGACGATTGGGTTTTCAAATCCTTTTACGAGATATTCACGACTGAGTCCTAATGCAGATTGATCAATCTAAAAGTTTTGATATTTAAGCATACCAAAAATTAGCAAAATAAATTTAACTCACATCAATGATACGCCTTGATGAGTTCTTCAGATCAGTGCCGACAGAAAAGTCGAAAATATAATCTGTAGAGTAACCGCGCTTGCGAAAATCTTTAACTGATTGTTGCCATGTCCACTTTGATTCGTCCCATGCGTCACCTTTCACAACTGGCCATCCTCCCATTTCATCATGAATATCAACAAGTGGTTTTAACCCGCGCTCTTCAATCAGTGCTAAAAAGTTTTCAAAGTTGTTTGTTTATGGGCTGTCATAAATTTAATAGCAGCAAATGAACTTACTTTTGTTCATACATGCTGTATAAAGTTTCTTTACCATCTTAAATGGTTCAATCTCATCTTCTTCAATTGGTGATGTGATAATCGTTTTTAATTGCTCCTGAAGCTTATCACTAATCACGCTGAATGCATTAACGGATACTTTGTCGTCTGGAATCATTGTGTTTAAGATGTATTGGCCACAGCTGAATTCATAAAAGTCATCACATGGCTCAAATTCTTCATCAATCTGCTCTAACATCTTTGATGCAGCATGCACACATCCAGGTGTCAAGCACACATCATCGTTGTTATTATTTACACCTGGAGACTTATTCTTTTTACTACTCTCAGCTGTTATTATGTGCACTTTTGGTGAATCATGGCCATTTAAAGCTTCAGCAGTGCTTTTCATAAAACCTAATAATAAATTCATGGAATTATAAACGATCAGGAACAAGATGTAAGACGTGACTTACCCTCTTTTGATTTATCATTGAGTATCACAGAAACTAGTGAAATAATAAGTACTATTAGAGCTAAACTGCACACTATGCTAACCAATGTAAGGGCACGTTCCATTCCAGTCCGACGTCGCCACCAATTCGGATTTCTAATCAATGAAAGAGAGAGAAAAACAAACGAATAAGATTAAACCGATAAGTAAAATAATAATTGCGAATTCTAGTGACGAAAGGTTAAATTTTTATGACTTTTTATGTTTCACAATTGCTGTGGTCAGATAATTTTACGGTTTCAATTTCCAATTCAATTCGTTACGTCAAATTAATTAAGATGAAATCAACATTTTGCGCAGAAACATGTTCACAGATAGATTATCGCTTTTTGGCAATGATTCTTTTTGTGACTGCTAAATCGTTCATTAGTCTTTAAACGTTTGAATAATTTTTGTTGGAATGTATCCAGAGTTGCGAAACAGGCACCTGTGACAGGTGAGAACCCATCAATTCCTTCTTCTTCTTCTTCTTAATTAACTTTATTATGGTCCATCAGCTTATTGCTATTTAAAGACCGTTCACAATTCCAGGTAGTTTAATTTACAAATATACACAAAGAACAATCAATAAAATCCAGTCAACTCCAAATGGTTGACAGAAAACATGCCCGCGATAAGTCAAAACAACAAAAAACCATCGCTAGGCAAAAAATACCATCTTCAGTTGTCGATGATCCAGATCCCTTGACAGTCCTTGTAATTTAACTTGTGATATTCCAAATAGATTCAATTTTTTCTTATGGCTCGAGTGTGATCTGTCAATTTAATTAATATGATCTGCTGTATTCCGAGATGATCGATTCCTGTTTGTCAATGTTGATTTGTTGAAATCCAGTCAGCACCAATTGATTGATAGAATTGCCCGCGATATATGGGGAAACACACAAAACCCATCGCGAGACAAATTCTCCTCACAATTGACGATAATCCGTTGTATTCCAATAATATTCAATATGTCTAGGTTATGGTTATGATAGAACCTTCTTGTCCACGATTGTTGGTAAAACACAAAAAACCCACGTGAAACAATTGATTCTCTTCACAACTGCCGCCGATCGTGATTTGTCAATGTAATTAAATGTTCGTTGGTATTCCGATGATGATCAATTCCGTTTTATCTAGGTTATGTGCAAAATTTGCACATTTTTTTTCCAATTTCAATTTATATCCAAAATTTAATTAAATCGCGACTTTGCTGAGTTTTCTCCTTGGTATCTTTGTTCTTTGTTACTTTGAAGACAGTTCCCGTAGGTTTGTGACTTATTCCTACGCGTAATTAATTAATTTTGAAGTATTGCACAATTCCACAACCTCCTCATTCGGAGGTTGGGAGAAAACTCCCCCATCAATTCCTTGATAATTTATAAGGTTTTTCTAACAAAACCATACAAATTATCAAGGAATTGAACGGTTCTCACCTGTCACAGGTGGCCTGTTTCGCAACTCTGAATGTATCTCGATGCCTAATTGGCAACATAGGCGTAATTTTGAACATATCAACCTTATTACAAATAAAGCTGACCTGTGATCGAATTAAGAAACTTATTACGAATTTGTTAAAGATGGTCACAAAGCTTTTGACTTCTAGTTAATCTCTCAAAGCGTACTATAACAATCTAATCAGTTTATGGATGTAAGCAACATCTAAATTCACAGAAAATTGGAATTGAGACTACCTTTTGCTAAAACTTGCTATATTAATTAAAATTTTCATGATAAAAATTCCATCACTAAAACCCTTGACGTTTCTGATTAAGCCTTTGAATTCCTTAAATTTCTATCAAATTGAAACAATGCATTTATATTCTCCAATAAAGCTAAGCAATTAGAACTAGACGAACATATTTTTCCCATTTAATTAACTCAGTTTACACACTCCCCTTGAAGAACAGTTAAGATTATTTATGGGAATCTCCGAATAATTAAATGTCATACATGATAATTAACACTCATCTACGCCTTTTTGTGCTCGAACTGTAATAATTTATGTTGCTAATAATCATTCAGATCTATTCAGATTGTCTTAATAAATTAATTTTGAAAATAGGATTCCATTAACACTAAATTACTATAAACTCAGCACATAGTGTCTATTATTGGTTCGCACATGTAAATGACATTATCGCATGCTGAATGTGTATTATATTAGTTTTCATCCAATAATGATGGTACTTTCGTTATTATTATTCAACATATACTGATTTAACCTTACCAAATTGAAGAAGAACAGAAAAATTTGTGAATGGACAATTAGCCACACAAGCCTTCAAATATTCAATGATTTATTATGACGACTACAGCTTGGAAAACAGATTTTAATGTCACTAGTACGGATTATTAACGGATGTTCTGCATTTAACGACGGAAACATTAAGTTTCCGCCTTAAAATTATCCATACACTTTCGAAAAAGCTATTTCCTTATCAGGCGTTACTTTTATTCGATTTATATGCATTCCGTAAATTGTTGATAAATGAATTAAAGCATGTTTAAAAAATAAAGCGCAAAAAAAGATAACTCAAGCAATTTTTTGAGGAAATGCAGTAAATTCATGCAAAAGCAATAATATTTTGCCGGACATTCTCGTAAGTAGCTAGTTATGAACAGAAAATATCAATAATAAACGAATGTCAATAAACATCTCAATCAGCACTTTTTCATCGTCTTCCTCATTCAACATTGACAATTTATTGACAAACATTGGACATGAAGCACTCAGCAATCAGCAAAAAAACATTCACAATTTCTTCAACTTCATTTTCGTGTGGCTTCAGAGATTTTCCTCGCACATAATACATGAACATCATCAATGTCGTTTTATGTTAAGCATGTACGTCGATATCAGAAATTTAAATTGCGTAATGTCACTTTTACACATGACTCAATATAATGATTATGGAAACGACACTACAAAAAAAAAAAAATGGAATTATTATTAATAATAGATTGGAATTTTTACATTTAACTTCCATAAAGGCACTTGTTAAGTGGTAGAAATTTCAGTCAATTAATTGATTGAGCGAAATGTTGTGCGAAATAGAAAGGTGATTAAAGAGATGTTGATGGATTTAATTACAAAGCTATTTTTTTTTTGCTTTGGAATTTGTTTTCGAAACCGCTTAAAATTTCATGTTTGGAGGAAATGCCAAACATCATCTTGACCAACCCATCTTTAAATTGAATATTTTATAGACATGTAAAAGGTCAACTGAGTTTTATTGCTGATAGTTTTATCTATAGAATCCAGAAAATTAAATTGCAGAGGTCGAAGTTGGTGAAGTGAAGTCGTTTCACTTCACTTCACTTCACTAAAATTTCAATCGGTTTTAAGTCAGCTCGAGTGAACTCATTTTTTTCGTATTCACTCGAGTCGACTTTTAACCGAGTTGATTTTTTCGTGTTCACTCGAGTCGACTTTTAACCGAGTTGATATTTTCGTGTTCACTTTAGTCGACTTGAAACCGACTTGATTTTTTCGTGTTCACTCGAGTCGACTTTTAACCGAGTTGATTTTTTCATGTTCACTTTAGTCGACTTGAAACCGACTAGAGTTCACTAAGGAAAAAAAAATATATTATAACAAACTGATTTCTGCTAGTGCTTGTGAAGTATATGTGATTACATACAAAATTGCAGAATTTGTCCTTTTTTACTTTTCATAACCATATAGCAAACTAAACGAATTAATTTAAAATATTTTTCAAACTTCCAGTTTATTATAATTCAAGTTTTAATTTTTTTTTCATTATTTATGTTTGTACGTTGAAGAAATTTAACTCTATAAATAAGAAAAAAGTGTTACAGATCTAAATTTATTTTATTATTCTTGAAGATTAAATTTAAATGTTTTATGCAGCACAATTTTTGTATCCTTTTTCCAGAGATCAAACAAATAAATCTGAAATTAAAATATATTTACCAAAATTGGAAATATGGTGTGAATTAAAATAAATTTCATTCATAATTGTAGCAGTTCGTAATAAATAATTTCAAATCAGAAAAATAATCTATAGTGCAAAACATTTATAAAATATATGAAATCTAAAAAATATTTTAAACTAATTCGTTTAGTTTGCTTTATGGTTATGAGAAGTAAAAAAGGACAAATTCTGCAATTTTGTATGTAATCACATATACTTCACAAGCACTAGCAGAAATCAGTTTGTTATAATACATTTTTTTTCCTTAGTGAACTCAAGTCGGTTTCAAGTCGACTAAAGTGAACATGAAAAAATCAACTCGGTTAAAAGTCGACTCGAGTGAACACGAAAAAATCAAGTCGGTTTCAAGTCGACTAAAGTGAACACGAAAATATCAACTCGGTTAAAAGTCGACTCGAGTGAACACGAAAAAATCAACTCGGTTAAAAGTCGACTCGAGTGAATACGAAAAAAATGAGTTCACTCGAGCTGACTTAAAACCGATTGAAATTTTAGTGAAGTGAAGTGAGTTTGCTTCATCGACTTCGACCTCTGTTAAATTGTTTTTGTTAAAGCAGTTGCGTAATAACGAGACGGGATTTCTTTAATTTCTTATGGGTTTTACGAAAATATTCTTACGAGTTCAGTTTAAATCTCTTATTTAATGCCCAAAGTTTCCCCAAAAAAATTTAATTAAATTTATTTCATTACTACATCAAAAATCCAAAGCATAAAATCATCAAAAAAACCTGAATAAATCCCAAAACATTTACGTTGAATGACTTAACAGAAAAATCACAAAATATTTTTGGTTTTGTTCATTTATGGCGTCAAGAATTTAGAATAAAACAGAAAATGCAAGAATCTTCGGAGTTTTCAGGTCTCTCACTTGTGATGTCAATATATGTGGCAAGAAGGACTAAGCAATGAATTAGTAATCGAAGATTTAAAACTCAAAACAAAGTCTTAGACTGACATATGAAAGTAAATTCCGTGGAAAATCAATCGAAAATAGTATTTCTTAACCTGTAAAATCTTACGTCTAATAAATCGAGAATCGATAAACCACATCATTGTGAATCCCGTGAAACATAACGTCATTGATGAACATTATCTTCGTAGGAAGCCAAAAGTTGTTAAAAAATCTCAACTCTAAGTCACAACAAAGCAATTCAA